GACCAAGTAACACAAGGCAGTGTAGACCTGACCAAGTAACACAAGGCAGTGTAGACCTGACCAAGTAACACAAGGCAGTGTAGACCTGACCAAGTAACACAAGGCAGTGTAAGCCTGACCAAGTAACACAAGGCAGTGTAGACCTGACCAAGTAACACAAGGCAGTGTAAGCCTGACCAAGTAACACAAGGCAGTGTAAGCCTGACCAATTGACACAAGGCAGTGTAAGCCTGACCAATTGACACAAGGCAGTGTAAGCCTGACCAATTAACACAAAGCAGTGTAAGCCTGACCAATTAACACAAAGCAGTGTAAGCCTGACCAATTGACACAAGGCAGTGTAAGCCTGACCAAGTAACACAAAGCAGTGTAAGCCTGACCACACATCTTAATTCCCATGCTGTTAAGACTATTTTAAAGTTACAGCATGAATGAGGAAATAGTGTGCTAGATAACTATAAAATATATAAATATTATATACTTAATTCTACTCTTAAATACCTGTTTGATGAATTAATTCTTAAATAAAAGATATTGGTAGGACAGTTACCTGAAAGATCCAGATTTAAATCAGGTCGACCGTCAACCACAAGGGCAAGTGCTTTAACAAGAACCCTGTTTGGATTTGCTGAATCTGAAAAACATATAACCAAAAAGGCTTAGGTCTCATCAGTGACATACCAAGTCTGATCATAGAAAAAATTAACATATTTTACAAGGAACTCAACTGAAGTTTAAAATGACAAAATACAAACACCACCTTGAACTTTTAATAGAATTTTTTATCTGGTTAACAAGAAATGACGCATCTTTATTTACACGCTATTTCACTATTCTTGTTGGTACGAGCGGATATTCCGAAACTCATAAAATTCTCGTTTGGATCACATGAAAATCAGTGAAAAATTAAATATTATTACATAACAGTGGTACCTATAAATGATATGTATTTATTTTTGTGTATCTTGTAGTTAGATTTTAAGTGGTTACTCTGAAATTATCTTTATTCTTTTAATTAGAATTCATTCCCGTTGCTCACCTACAACAACAACTTCCTTTGCAGCTGTTCCTAAAAGGTTTTCTTTGTATTTTCTAAGACTCTTATCTTCTTGATCAGCCTCCACTATTTCTTGCAACGAACGTTCTGCAGGAGGTCTGTAAGTGATCTTCACCTTCTCGTCGGGATTTTCTTTGGTAATATCATCAGCCATCCTGTTTTTGCCAGCTATACTGAAACAATTTGTAGAGTTAAATAAAATGGCATACGTATTTCGGTAACAGACATATTAACAGGGCATTGTATCGGGCACAGTTTAGTTTCAATTCCTTACAAGGTGCTGGAAATATTTGTCAACCATTATCTTAAAACTCTTACAAAGTTGCAGTCTCTATCACTTGAATAGAGTAATAAAACTTGTCTGACTTTTCCAAGTCTTAAATCTATTACTTATTGTCTGAAATGATGTATGTTGTAAAAGAAATATCAACCAATACCCTAAGATCTTTTTTTTTCTCATCCACATAAATAAGAGGTATAAATTGTAACTTACATTAAAACCCACAAGCACAACTTTACACCTTATCATAACCGAATGCTATCTGTCCAACTAACCAACTCAAAGTGTCTCTGCAAAGTCAAAGTATTCTTGTTATAGCCAGCCAAACCTCAGATTTTTAAGTGACAATTTAACTGATTAATTAATACAAGCAGAGACTTCACTGATTAGTAAACTAATCAGTTAAAAAAAAAAATCATGGTTAAATTGATTAATCAAAATTAGTATTTCCTGTTATTACTGTTTACAATCATTACAGCAACAAGGTTATCAAAATCCCAATTCTACTGATTATCATAAATATAATCAACTTATCGAAATTATTTCTCATTATTACTCTTTTCAAATAATCGAACAATTGAAATTAGGATTAAATTAACTGTGTCATTAAACTAATCGAGTAATCAAAATTAGGCTTTCAAGTTATTCCAACCATCCACATAATTAAAACGTTGCCATCAAACTTGCTTATCCTGTCTTTGTTCTGGTAAAGCTACTAAGGCTATCTGCTGATGAGAGCGAATGCAACTGGCTGGCTAATCTCTTCCTTTAGTTTTCCTCCTCGTGCAGATACAACGTAACATCTTCAAAATAAGTTAGTAAGATAGGTTTGTTTTTGAACTTTGCAGAAAACTACAAGAGAACTATCTGCGCTGAAAGTCCCTAATTTAGTAGTGACAGACGAGAAGGAAGGCAACTAGTCAACACCTCTCACCACCAGCTTTTGGATTACTCTTTTACCAACGACTAGTGGGATTGACTGTCACATTATAACACCTCTACGGCTGAAAGGGCGAGCATGTTCAGTGACAGATATTCAAACCCGTGACCTCAGATTGTGAGTCAAGCACCATAACCGTGCTCGGCCTAGTAATGTAGGATCTGTAAAGGCATGTTGGCTTTAAAAAAGGGATAAAATTAATTTTTTCTTCAAACAAGTTCTAAAAATAAAAGCTACTGGGGTGATTACAAATTTGGTGGGTTATTGTATGAGGATAAGTTTAAATATGTGTGCTGGAGAAAAAAAATGTTTGAGAAGACATGACAGCTTTTAAAAATTACTAGATGTTTAAAAAATTCACATATCTAGCAGACACTGTTCAAACAAATTCTAGACAATAAAATTAGGGGACAGGAGTTTCAGGTATGGAAAACTCGGGCACTACTCCAAGCAATGTTACTTTTCTAATAGTCATCCTACGGCAATAATATACACTTAATGCGTGTTAGTCATGTAAAAACATAAAAGGATGTGTCCGATTGGCATGAAAATTTTACAGCATCTGTCTCAGACACAATAGATAAAACAGTAATGCCATTCCTGGCTAGTATAAATTAAAGTGTACTTTGAAAATAAATCAAGGTTTCATATTCATGATTCTATGGCCTTGAAGGTTTCGTGTTTTTCCCACCGTGAATTTATTGGCCTGAACTTATTGCAATTGCCTTTTAATTTGTAGATCATTTGGCCAATTGATACTAAGTTGCCAAACAAGCCATTGTCTGACCAGGATTTGAATCCGCAAAGGGCACATGTACGAAGTTGATGTACCTTACAGGCCAATTCCAAGATTCGAGAGCCTACCTTAACCAGTGCTAGTTACTTGAAGTCGTGCGGAGGCCTACTTGGATCGAACTGCCATTTATATTTCATTAGTCTAAGTAATCAGTATCTTATACTTGTAACTTTCCACCCTAAATAAATCTTCACATTCATGTATATTATTACTATATAATAAAATATAATTATTACATCTTGATATGCATTTTGACTAAGAACTACAGTAACTAAAGTGTCCACATGCTAAATAAGAAGGCCTAGATATACATCTTAACAATAGTGATAGTGCTTTAGTGTTAGAAACCTAAATTTTTATACGTTTATTGTAACTGCTATAATGGAAGCACAACTATGCAACCCAATCACTAGCTTTAGGCTTAAATCTAAAACAAGTCATATCAACATAGTCATATGCAGCCTCAATTTGATAACATCAACGATATTTACGTTCACAACAAATCTAGATCTGGACACATCTAGGTTAGCCTACCAAGCTGTAAGTTTCAGGCATGTCGTGGTATTTGTCTGATGTAGGAAGGAACCGAGAGCAAAAGATATAATAAGGCCTCAAAAGAAAGCTACTGGATATAACATTAACACTAGCAGTGTTTATATTGTATGTTGTGAATGCTCATGTATTTGAAGAGAAGAATTGACACTTACAGTTCTGTGGGAGGAAATTTTAAAAAATAAATAAATTTAGTGATTATGCTTTGACAAATGTTAATTTTACAGTCTGTAATAGAATAGTTTGCCTTAATTAAGGCGTGGTAACTTAAACTAAAAGTTGTAATGATGAAGCTAATTGGATGAAATTGAAAAAGAGGTTTCTTTTAACTTAAAGTTCGTGTAATTAGGCACAGAATTGTAGTATAATTTATATTAAAAAAAAGGTTAGTCTAAAACGGTCACTTGAACCATTGTCATTCACACAAAATGGTATGATAAAAATTAACTATACCCAATCAATCAACATTAGCAGCTTTAATTTAGCCTCAACTTTGTTTCACTTTTGGCCTGTTACTACCAGTACTAACATTAACATATTAATTGATTAATAATACTTAATAATAATATTTTTTGGATTCTAGTACTTAACTTTTCTGATTGCGAGAAAAAACTTGATCTTTGATAGAGTAGAGGGGTCTAAATTGCAAACCCTAAAGCAAAGGATTTTTGCACACCAAGAAACAAATTCCACTAACAGTAACAAATGATTATATTTATAAAGAAAGACTTCTCCGACGTGAAATAAAGGTGTGTCGTCTTCAATTTTAATTCTAGACTAGAGCGCCACCAAATATTGAAGAAAAAAGGCTTATTTTGTTCAATTAATCACACGTAACAACATAATTTAAGATATTTTTAAAATACCTTAATATTATTTAGATACGGATATTAATAAAAGAAGCCTCGTTAGCAACGACGTCTAACAGATAAAGTTTAGTTGAAATTATATTATACAGTCTCACTAAAAACACTTGTTGTACCAGGAAAAACGATGTGATTAAAATCACTATCAACGTTTATAACAAACTATTTAAATTATAACGTCACTTTTAATAAACACGACTAAATTACTCTTATATAATAATGTCCTTTTTAAATATTAAAGTTTCAATAACATACTCAATTCATGTAGATATATACACAGCGTGGTCACAAGTAAATAGACACCACCTTTTCAGAAGAAATGAAATTTTTCAGTCATATTCTCATGAATTGATATATTTATAATTTAATTAATATCTAGTAGATCTTCCTTTCGCTTCGCGGAGTTCGTTGATCCTTTGGGGCATCGTGAGAATCATCTCTTCAATTTTAGATTGTGGGATTTTCGCCCACTCTTGCTTCAAAACTTGGAGTACATCGCTCTTCGAAGTTGGTTTTTTTGGTTGTTTCTTGACTTGCCGGTCGAGTACGGCCCAGAGGTTTTCGACATATCAGGAGATTGGCTCGGCCAGGGC